GAAGGAGCCACTGACTCATAAAGCGAGTAAACACATAGAGCGCAAGTACCACCTGATACGAGAGATCGTTGGACGAGGAAAAGTCGTTGTTTCCAACATATTATCGGAGGACAACCTAGCAGATCCTTTTACGAAGAGCCTACCGGCGAAAGTCTTTGAGAGACACGTAGAAGGGATGGGACTCAGACGATAGGTGACATAGTAGACTAGTCTTTGAGAATTAGATTGAAAGAGAATTGTGGTTAGTGATAGCCATGAGCTTATTAAGCATAAGTGAGAGATTGTTAGATATGCTGTACAAACTTGGTTTTCAGATATTAATAATACCATTTTGATCTGACAATCATGTTTTAGTCAAAGTACTTATGTTTGGAGTTTATTTATTTATGCAATGATAACTCCATTATTTTACACTTTAGATAATATGTTTCGTCGTGTCGAACAGAAAGATCATATTATCGGTTCCTTGTAAAATATAACTTTATGGTTCACAGTTTAGACAGGCAGTGAGACCTCTGTTGGAAAACGACTGTAGTGTAGTTTTGATTCAGTTGATCTTTAACTGATGGATTACACTAGTAGTTATGATAAGTATTGAACGGACAGCGGAAGGATAAGATTATAAGATTTATTGATCGTTGTTATAATCTAGACCTTCAGTGATTGATGCATTCTTTTAAGCTGTAAGAAAATATAAAATGGGTATATATATATTTATTACTTATTTATTTGATTTAGCAATGGTGATGCATATTCTGTTAGGATGACATACTCGCTATTTTGGCAAGTAAGAATATTTATATAGTGTGCCATTAGAAATTATTTACAGTCACTATGTCTTAGTGCGTTGGGTTGATGACGTCCCCGAAATGAGCTCAGGAAAGAATATTATGTCAAACCGTGCAGCTGGATAATTATCCAGCATAATTATTAATGAACTGAGTGGTACTAATTTTGGAAATGAAGAAGTCAATTTAATTTATTTGTCAGTAATTAAATTAATTGACGGATGTTGTACCTTAAACATGAAGAGGTAATTCGGTCAATTAGATTAATTAATTGATTTATTAATTAATCATTGGAGGCTTGATTTATTGAATAAATTGGAGCCAAATGGGGAGAGCAATAATATTACTATAGTGGAAATATTTTATTATTTAATTCTATTTAGATTAAGGAATATATTTTATTTCATAATTAATATTCTATTAGGAGAGGAATATTCTCTCTGAAATATTACCTAGGGTTAGGAGACTAAATAGCCTTTTAGAAGGTGATGATTAGGAGAAGGAGTTATATCCTAGGTTGGGAAAGTATATGGAATGGGATTAGGATTCCTTAACCTAATGAGATAAGTCCATATTTAGCACCTCCTTAAGGTCCCTAATGTAGTCTATAAATACACCATGTCTTGGACACTCCCCACACAATTCCACACGCATAAGACTAGGGTTCCTAAGGGAAAAAGGAGTCTTTGTGTGTGCTATTTATTGAGAGTTTGAGAGATCCGAAAAATTGCCCACCAAGATTTTTCGGAGTAGGTGTTTGGATCATACATTAGAAGATCTTAAGGTTAGATAGACCAAACCCATAGATCTCCTATTTTCCGGCCAAGCACCGCCGCCGACCGCCGTCCTCCGCCCCCGGCAAGTCGCCGGAAATCGTCGTCGTCGCCCGAAGGCGCCGGAAGTCACACGCGCTCAGCCAGCACGCAGCCGCGAGCCCGATCCCGCAGCCACACACTGGCGCTAGTCCCAGCGACGCCCAGACGTCGGCCCTTTTTATCGCGAGCCCCAACGACGCCTTGCCCGATCACACGCCGTCACCCGAAGCACTCGCGAGCCCCGCTCCTGTTGCCACGTGAAACCAGATGCCCGTAGTCCTCGCCCGTGTCCCAGTCTGCGCACGAAAAGGATTCCCGCGCCTGCACGCGCATGAGACCCAGTCCGTGAAGGCCTAGGACAACCGCACCGCACGTGCCCGGGTTCCCAGCATCTGCCCGCGTCTGTCCCGCAACCGCTCGTCACGACCCGACGCGCATCCGCCAGTGACCGTGGCTCGTGCCATCTGCCAGCGGCCGTGACCCTCTCTCACGCTGTCCGCGAACCACACGCACCCGACCAACCCCGAGACGTGACCTGATCTATTCAACCCGAGACCCGGCAATCCGAGCCCGACGAGCCCATTCCGGTGATCCATTCGTGATTCAATACTCGATTAGAATCGACAAAGGCCAAACCCTTCAACCGATTGGATTGTGGTAATTAGACGATCTCCATCAAAGAAAATCAGAAACGTCTCTGAGTCGGCAAAAATTTTAAACGGTAATGTCCTAACCCTAACTATAGATTCCGCTGCATTAGGGTATATTTTTCAAAATTTCAAAATGTGCATGTTGTTGTCTTTCCTAATAGAACCCAGTAGAGCTAGAGATCATCTCGACATGCTAGAGCTCATCTCGACCTGCTAGAGCTCATCTCGACCAGCTAGAGGTCACCTCGACCTGCTAGAGCTCACCTCGACCTGCTAGAGCTCATCTCGACTTGCTAGAGGTAACCTCGACCTGCTAGAGCTCATCTCGACCTGCTAGAGGTCACTTCGACCTGCTAGAGGTCACCTCGACCTGCTAGAGCTCTTCTCGACCTGCTAGAGGTCACCTCGACCTGCTAAAGGTCATCTCGACCTGACAAATGAGGAGACTAGAGGTCTCTATGACTAGAGATCCCTGCGATTAGAGGTCCCTGTGATTAGAGGTCTCATCCACGAGATCTGTAGAGAGTTGAGTTCACTATGACTAGTAGAGAATGATCTAGAGGAAGTAAATGGATAAAAAGGAATCTGATTATGACTCAGATGTGATTAGGATACAGATAAGATCAAATCTTAGGCAGTTCGGGCAGTCAGGGCAGGTATTTTCCCTATAAAAGGGGACTGAGGTATAACCTTAACCCTCTCTCCCACATTCTACACACTTCTACATCATTACAGCTCTAGATTACAGAGCTTCATCTTCTTGCTTATACTGACTTGAGCGTCGAAGTTCCTTCGCCGGTAATCCCTCCGGCGTTGGGTTCTTGTAGGTATTCGCTGCGATCTAGAGGCAGTTCAGACAGATCGGAATTCATCTCATCCGGTTCACTCCAGATCTAGGAGAGGACCCATCAATGACGGTAGAGGAATGCGATGAAGCAATAATTATGTTACTGTGTTGAGGAAAATTCTGAAAATTGAATTTTGATTGAAAGGTAAAAAAAGTAGTTTCAACTTAAATAACTTAATTATCAACCATTAAACTAAAAAAGTTGATGAACTAATAGAATTGATGGATAACCTTAAATTTATCAAGAATATTATATCATGTCCAATCACCTCTGGTAACCAAACCCACGTAGACGTGGCCAAAGCCTGGGACCGCCGGGTCGGTGGGCCTCAAATGCTGGGCCCGTAACCGGCCTGGCTATATCTAAGGGTCGGTTCATTGAACTGGCCCGACCTGACGGTTCATTGAACCGCCAATTTTAAAAAAAATGAAATTACAACTGCGACCCGTCAAAAAATCCGAGGCCAGTTCACGGGACGGGCCAACCCGTGGCCATGTGTAAACCGACCCTTAGAATACATTTTTGTACATTTGCTGATGCACCACTAGTGTGTGGCCCGTGCGATGCACAGGGAAACATGATATAACGATTGTATTATAAATTAAATATATAAATAGCATTAATCATAATCTATCCATTGTGTTCATATTAAACCGGGTTGGACACAGTCCGACCAGATGGACCAAGAACCGGTTTATAACCAGTCTAGTTCGCTTGAATAAAATATTTGCTCTCGAATCCGTCAATACCAGTGGTTGGACTGGTATGATCGATACGATTTTCTAAATAAATTTTGTTATATTTAAATTATTTTAAATAAAATTACGTATTTAAATAAAATAGAGATTTATAAATTATTTATCAGTTAGTTTAAACATTTGAATTTATAAATTGTTTAGATATCTAAATAACACATTTTATTTTAATTTATTACAAAAAGTACTATATATATATATATATATATTAAAATGTTTATAAATTAAAATCTGAACAAACCACAAATGATTTAATAAAATAGCTTGATAGTTTCGATGTCGATCCAGTTCTGAAAACCTTATATTTAATTTGCATCAATAAATATTATAATAAAATATTATTTAATTAACATAAATATTCATAAATCATTAAACATGTTATAATAAAAGTATTGTTTAATACGATTATTGAAGTTTGGACTAAATCACATTCACATAATAAAATATTTTCAATATAAAATTTGTATTTAGGTTCAATAATCGATTTCGTGTGGTCGAACTGATACATAACTTAGTCACCTGGGGCAAACCAAGTTGTGTCAAATTTTTTGACTATTTTAAATATCACATAAAAGTAATTCAATCAACCTGAGCAGTACTCTAATTCAATCATCCGATTGATCCGAAGAAATTTTCTTATTTCTTTAAATATATTTAATTTTTATGAAATAAAAATATTTTATGATTCATATAATAAATGTTTACACCAAATGATCGTATATTAATATTATAAATTATATATCTAAAGATGAATTAATTATTTTTATTTTATGCATATTAATAAAAGGCACAAATATAAAAAACATGATTCTAAAACTTTTGTTATATTTTGAATTGAGATTTTATAAATATAGAGACCGAGATTTTAATGTTGTTCGTTGTTTCTAAGAAATAAATAAAAATAAAAACATACACACTTAATAAATCTTAGCTGAATTTTTTAAATAATAAAATGAACTAAAGCCTGAAATTTAAGATAACATTTAATGTTGTATAAGTTTTAAAAAATAAATTAAAAAAAATAATAAAATCTACTATTTATAGGCTGTATTAAATTCTGATCTATTTTTTTGCTACTATTTTTGGTAAATGGTAATTCTTATTTTATATATGTATATATATAGATTTGCACGAATGGAGAGACAGTGACGGACGGTGAGTAAATTCCAATCAGTCCATCCACACCACACCACAGCGTACTATTTTCCATTCCATCTTTAAACCCCAACTCAACCAAACCAAATGATATCACTAAACCCCACACTTACGAATGCTCTCTCTTTCCACCGAATTCATGAATCTCTGCGCACCCCGAAAGCTCATCGCCCAATCCAAACTCGCGCGGCTGCCCATGGGATGGGAGGAGGTGCTGGGTCGGGTTTTCTGTCGGCAATTGGGCGGGCCATAGAGGAAGAAGAGTACCGAAAGGCCCGGGCTGAGGTCCACCGGAAAGGGTTCGATTTGGATAGGTACTCAATTGAAGGGCTGTCGATCGGAGGCCATGAAACTTGCGTTATCGTACCCGAATTGAAGTCGGCCTTTGATATTGGGAGGTGCCCTTCGAGGGCTATCCAGCAGAATTTCTTGTTCATCACCCATGCTCACCTTGATCATATTGTAATATTTTCCTATTTGTTTTTACGAAAGATAAAGAAATCTTTTATTTCATTTTAGTGTTGTTGAGTTTTTCAACTTGTGTTTGAAAAAAATATGGTTTCTATGCTTCTTCGCGTGCGGTGTAGGAGTTGGGACTTCTGTTCGTTTTGTGTAAGTAGCGAGCGAACAAAAATGGACAAAAGAGTAACAAATGATTGATGTTTGCGTCTTGTTATGCTGCTGTATTTCTGTAGGGGTCTGAGTGCAGAATAAGGTCATTGTGGCTTAATTTATGAGTTTCGTGTGGCGTTTGTACGATTATTTATGCTTGGTAGGGTGTACGAGTGGGTGATATTTGCGCTTTGATGTATAGAGGCTGATTAGTAGTAGAAAGTCTAGTTTGAACATTTTCACCACTCATTCTTCTCCAGTGTGGTGGTGCCCCTTTTTTCCCCAGAAGTTATTGATGAATTGAGGATTTGTTTTCCTTTCAAATTTCCCTTTTGTCAAATAGTAAGCTGCGATTATTCTTAGTGGAGGCTGTGCTTTTGATGCATGAGTTGCAGATTAGATTTCATGTTATCTTGTTGAGATACATGTAGAGTCTGGGCAGTGGACACTCGAAGTCACTAAATATGAAGTCCATTTTACTTTCCACCACTAGAGAATCTTGGCCATAATCATCGTTTTGCATTGAAGATCTCCTTTTAATGTCAGCTTATACTTGTATAGATCTCATAAATATTTTGTATTTATTTTATCTCAAAAATCAAGTGTATATCTATATATATCTATGTATTACTGCATATGTAATTTTCGTGTGATATGCTTGGCATATCTGAAAATAGCACATGTATTGAGTTTGTTATGTATTGATTCAGGGAGGACTGCCGATGTACATAGCTTCTCGTGGTCTTTACAGCTTAAAACCGCCTACTGTCTTTGTGCCTCCATGCATAAAGGAGGATGTTGAACGGCTAATTGATATTCATAGTTCCATGGGTCAGGTCGAACTGAACTTTGATTTGATAGCGCTTGATATAGGTAAAATGCATTATTCTTTATCCGTTGTCCATTGGCCAATATGGTTCTTTCAATTTTTAATTTTTTATGAACATATTACGCAGGGGAAACATATGAAATGAGGAATGATCTTGTTGTACGGCCGTTCAAAACACACCATGTTATAACTAGTCAGGTATGGATGTAAGAAACTCAATATCCACTGCTTTATTGATTATATGGTTGAGAATTATACAGCAGTATATAACTTTTGTACAGCAACACAAGTCTTTATGCTTTATGCAATCTGGTGCAATGGTGATTATATGGTTGAGAATGTGAGAAGCTCAATATCCACTGCTTTAGTGATTATATGGTTGAGAATTATACAACAGTATGTAATTTTTGTACAGCAGCCTCCTACCAACCTGCGTCATTAAGAAGTCTTTATGCTTTATGCAATATGGGGCAATGGTGTATTGCATGGATTTCTATTTTCTTACAAGTTGATTAAACTGATTTTATAATCATTTGGTCTGGATAACAGTCACATGCTTTCACCAACACCGAGATGATTCATTTAGCCATCAAACTTCATGAAAACCATCAAATCAATTTCGCAAGCGAAGCCTGTAAATATGAATTCCCTAGAGTGATATTCATTTCATTCCTTCTTGTTTCTAACAATCATGCCAGAAAAAAACTTGTCAGTTTTATTCCTATTTCATATACTTCATTTATAAACCGCCTCGGTTTATCCATACATTGTGAGAGATTTGTCATTAGATTATTAAGGCTGGAAAATACTCTCTGTCTCTCTCGGTCAGATTTGTGCCAGTCAAGCACGTGACTTGTGCTTACATGAAATCTTCCAATTATGGAATTCTGCAAATCTGAAAGTGAACTTGTTACCTGCATTGCTGATTGTTCTTGATTTTTGAAGAGCAATTACCATATATGGCCAGAGAGGTTGCTATACATGATCGGTTCATTTTCTTTGCTTGCAGGGTTATGTCATTTACTCTGTCAGAAAGAAACTGAGAAAGCAATACATGCATTTAAAAGGAAAACAAATCGAGAAACTTAAAAAATCTGGAGTTGAGGTTATTTTGTTGGAATTTATCATCGGCTTATTTCTCTGATCACGCTATTGATTGAAGCTTAAATAAACATACTATTTTTTTCACTTCTTCGTTTTCTCAGATAACTGATACCATATTATGTCCTGAGGTGGCCTTCACAGGAGACACAACGTCAGATTTTTTCCTTGATCCACACAGTGCGGATGCATTGCGGGCCAAAATTCTCATAACTGAGGTAAATTATCTTACTCAGCATTTGTATAAATTGTTGTTGAGGCTTCCTTTGTTTCCACAGGAGGTTAAATGTGAATGAGGTTCCTCTCTGAAAAATCGTTATTTTGTTTGGAACTCTGAATGGTAATTATCAATTACTGTTGATGTATGATTAGAGCATCAAAATCACAATCATCTCTCTAGGAGTAGCGTTTTGGACAAAATAAAATTCAAAATTTGAACCCCATGTGAGATTTCAAGTAGGCATGCAAGTGCACTGATCTCATTGTGTTAACATCTAATTTATTTGTCTTCACAAGAAATGTTTGTTCTTGATTGTGTGCTTTCATTTTTCCACCAGTAGCATGCCTACCGTTTGTGACATTTTGGTTGATGGTGAAATACTTTTCAAGGTGAATAATGAATGTGTAATGTAATTCATTCAGTCAAGTACTTATGAACAGCTCCATATGCATAAAACTTCTTGACCTAGTTACAGAAAACTGGGTTGTGTGTGACCACTAATACTAGAGGTTTTCTTTTGCGGGCAGGCAACATTTTTAGATGAAAATGTCAGTGTTGAGCACGCACGAGAACACGGGCATACCCATCTATCCGAGGTATTCAAAATTGTCTTAATATTTTTCAGAAAATATTTGTATGCTCGAATTACAGGAAATGTCATCTATTCTCATAGATTTTGGCTGTTTCAAGTCTTGAGTTTTTATTGTTGGGTTGCAGATCTTGGAGCACGCACAATGGATTCGGAACAATACTGTCGTGTTGACTCATTTCTCATCTCGTTACCGTCTCGAGGTAAATCACCTCAATGAAAAATTGATTGGTGTTGTGTTTTCAGTTTTTGTCTTTGTTTCTTTAGATGAAGCTTGAGTTACTCGTGCTCTTGTACAAGTTCCATTATATCATGTTCTACAAGGATGTATAAAACAAAACTGACATCAAGTTAAAGAGAATTCATATGGGTAAAGAAACGCTTCCTGGAAATTGATTTCACAAGATGTGATTAAAGTCACATTAGCATGTCGAATGTGTTTATGTTCGTTAAACATTCTCAAAATTTATTCATCTAACAAATAAGAAAATAGTATGTTTTTGTTTTTACTTTTTTATTTTTTGTGATCTCCCTCTTTTTTCCTGACATTTTTGGTAATTGTAGGACATTCGGCAAGCTGTAGCAAAATTACAGTCTAAGGTGTCTGCTAAAGTGGTTGGTCTAACTGAGGGATTCAAGTCAATGTATACTTAGACCATATAAGGCAGCGCAGCCAATTTTGTAAAATATTCTTAGTCGATTAACTTTCTTAGGCTACAATATTTGATGCTCAGGTGCCGCCTGGTTAAGAGCCCACATGCGCATGAACGTGTGTTGTATTCGACGGTACATGGTTCATAGTAATTAATGATTGCATAGTTAATTTATCAATGCATCATCTTTCCATATCCCAGAAAATGTGAATCGTTGTTTGCGTTGCAAAAGCTATTGCAAATGTGAATCGTGGGTGTTGTTGTCTATTGCTTGAAATGTGAATCGTGGGTGTTGTTGTGGATTGAAATGTGAATCGTGGGTGTTGTTGTGGAGTGGCTCGTAGGTCGTAGGGGAGGGTTTTATTCTAGTATTAGCTAGTTTCTTATTGCTTGTGTGTTTTGTGTTTTGTTTAGTATGAGTTTGTGTTTTCAATGTTTTTGTTGTGTGTTGTGCTTTAGGCTACCTGTGGAAATAGCATGGTTGTCAAAACCGGACAGGACCGGCCGGTTCGACTGGTTCAACCAAGAACCGACAAGAACACCGGTCCGGTTTGAGAACGGTTTTCAAATTTAGACTTTGTATTGATGTTTCAGATTAGAAATCAACGTCCGCCTAACGTTTTAAGGCTAAATCTCATCATTTTATAGCCACTATCAGCCTTTATTTTAGCTTTCACAATCAATGTGGGATTAAACCCCCACATTTTATAACCCAGTTCTGCCTTCATTTTTTATTTTTCAACCAATGTGGGACACTGGGACTAAAGAGTAAAGACCCCAACTGGACACACTTTCTATGCTTATAAATTGTGCAAAAACTGGAAGCTAATTAATTTAAGGTTTGTATGTATAACCTTATTTATAGTAATGTATATTTTTAATTTGTTTTTTGGTTTTATTTTATTTTGTTTTATTTAGTAAAAAAATGCATTCATCATCTCACTTTAATTTTTTTTTTTTAATTTCTTTCAAACAAATAAAAAAAATATTTATATAAACAATAAATATTTTGTGTTGGTGCTTTGGAAGGGCTCATTTAAATTTGTGTGTTTTGGTTTTGTTGTAGTTTGTTCGAGTCTGTGTTCGGTGTGTTTGTTCGTTTTTGTTTGGGAAATGAATACAGGCTAGGCATTGTGCAGTGGCTCTGTTTTCATTTTCTTTTTTTTTCGTCTTGTGGACTTCTCTAGGCCGCCACGTGCGTGTCCTCTCAGGTTTCTATTTCTGTTGTTTATTAGGCGTGTTTTTGGTTTGGGCTGTTGGCCCCTGTCTCATTACCCTGTTGGGGCCTTAGATTTTACCCTGTTGGGGTCTTGTAATTTGTTCCTTTTGCACTGTTGTGCACTTTTATATTACCTCTATCGTTCCGAAAAAAGAAAAAAAAAAACAATAAATATTTAAATAAATGGACATATATAAGTTATTATTAGTTAATTAAGTATTTGAATGTTTTAAATTGTGTTAATATATAATTAACAAAAACTTTTTTATATAAATTTTACTATATAAAATATTATATATATTTAAAAATAGTAATAAATTAAATACCGGTTCAACCACTGGTTGTACCACTGAACCATTGAACCAGTAGCTTGACCGGTTCGATAACCGGTCCGGTTTTGACAACCTTGGGAAATAGGCCTCTTTTCTTTGACTAGTTAGCCGGTTTTAATTATGTGTTTATTTATAAGTCTATCGTTTGGGAAAAAAAATAAAAAGAAATGATGGTTATCAGTATAACAACGAAAATTTTTATTGTGCAATAAAAATGATGGTTGTCGCTGCCACTAAAACAATTAAATTTTTGACTGTTCCTTATGCTCAAATTTGGGTTTCACCAAAAAAACAATTCGTGCGAAAAGAAGAACATGAGTTGTTTATATTTTTTTTCGAAACAATAAAATTTATAAATAAACACATAATTACAATACTAAATTCAGTTATTATATGGTTGAATTCAGATAGAGGTCTACACAACGGTATACTATATATCAGCTACACTTCAACACACTCCCAAGACTGAATACTACGATATTTCTACAAAGGGAGAATTCTAGCTCCTAAAAAGGAAATGAAAACTACAAAACAACAGCCCAGAAAACACAAACAATTAACATCACCCTATATAGTAGAGTAAAACCCTCCCCAATCGTCAAAGCCCCCGAAAAACCACCACATGAGTCAGCACCCAAAGGCGACCCCCATGAAAGACAGACCCTCGACCCAGATCTAGAAACTCCAAACTACGGTTAACTCGGTTCGAGCCAAAACCCCTGCCAAATGAGCCTCCCCAAAACAACACCGAGAGATTAGCACCCAAAACCACCCCAACACCAAATTGTTGACGGCTATCGACCACCAAAGGCGACGACAATCCCCTCCGTCGGACCCTTCCACCCCAGCACCAGAGACAAACCGGATCCAGGGGAGCAAAACGGAGTCGGTCTCAATTCTATCCGCCACAAAAGCAGCGGACGACGATGATGACCATGAACTTGCTGCCCAGATGTCGGACCCCTACTAGGAACCCATCATGGCCACCACACAAAATGGGAAACACCAGACCGAATGGGGCTTGAAGACTGGACGAAAAACTCGCCGACACCTCGGTGCATGTCGAGAAGAGGACCCGACGGAGAGGAGGCACTACAGCGAAGTGGAAGATGGCAAGGAAGAGATAATTTTGAGAGTTTTAAAGGAGGAGAGAAAAAGTGTGGTGCTGCTTGATTGAATGACAAGAAAATTGTGCATATCATTAATACAGAACCAAACAACTGGAAATTAACTTAAACTAATTTTATCTTGTGACACATTATCTCTATCTTGAGACACATTATCTCAAGTTACATATGTTTTTTACATGTTGTTAGTTTATATATTTAAAATTATACGATGAACTTTATTTCTAAATTGAATGAGAACATGGTCTTTTTTTTTTATTTACACACTATCCCATGGAAAAACATTTTTTTCACCAAAAAACTTACGAAATGATATGCGATATAAAAATTGCATATTCAAATGAATCGCATAATTATCAATTATGCGAGATATTGTTGCATATATATCAACGCTTATACATATCAGATGGATAGTTAAACATTATACAAAATACTTCCACATATGTACTAATCACATATCAAAATTCACCGCATAATTTACGATATGCGAAGTTATTTCGCATATATAGTTATCGAATATTGTAAATTGATAGCCACATATTTTATAATTATGCGACATATTTTCTCATAGTTTAATACTCGCATATCTAAATTCATCACCTAATTACCGTACGCGATAACTTTTCGCATATTCTATCGCATATCCAAATCGAAAGACCTCCAACCGGCTGGAACGAGCTAGAGATGTCTGGATCTCGAGCTAGTTGCCGGTTGAACGTCCTCGAAGTTGCAGAATTCTCACACTGGAGGAGGTCTCCGGTGAAGAGTCGGCGATGCTTAAATGAGTAACTGCAGAAGATGAAGTGCAGAGAGAGACCTCTTTGTAATATAAAGTGTATAATAGAGAATGTAATGTGTTTCAAGGCATACCTCATTCCCTATATAGGGAGATGATACCTTAGGGCCCAAGTCAGGCACGTGAGCTCCCCGATAGCAAGCGCCTGAGCTGCCTCGGTTGTCAGAACTGTCAGAGCCATTCGGGCTGTCAGAGACGGTTACGAGGCGTGGACCACTCGAGTGGTGCCACGTGGTTTTACCCATGTGGAGGTTATAATTCCCCCAAGATTTATTCTTATCCTCTTAGTCCTCCATATTAAGTAGTATAGTCCTGCATGTTGGGATCTGTGAGGATCTCGTTATGTACAAATCACGAATTCAATAGCAAACGTAAATGCGTAGTGGATCTAAAGGTTTCGTAGAGAACTTACGGCTTAAAATTTTATGGCGATCTAGCTGATCTTCAAGATGACCGGGAATAGCACACGGATGGAACGGGATCACGAACAGAATGTCACGCGCTCGTGTTGGTCGCGATCGAGTCGTGTGGGAAGTCACCAGGTCGTATCGCGCTTCGCGTCTCCTCGGCGATCGTGTGGTGCCGATTCGTCGCAACGTCGGGCCGGTCAGGATCGACGGTCCTCCGACTGGTCGCAGCGGTCGGCGGCTGGCCTGGGGTTGGCGGATCTCGGCCTTCGGGTTGAGGTTCGTCGACTTCTGTAGAAGATTATCGGGTCTCGATTATCTATGGATCTTCTATTGTATTACTCAAACACCCCTCTTCAACTTGTACCAGTGGAGCAACAAGAAGAAGATAAAGCTCGAATGAGAACCGAGAGAGAGAGAGAGAGAGAGAGAGAGTCGCGTGAGGCGTATCGTGTATTATGACAGATTGATCTCTTCTAATGAGCTTAATGATGTATATATAGAGCTACAGTAGGGACCCTTAGGAGATTAGGAATATGGCTCCTTAATTAATTAGACTAACTGTGGGCCAAACCCACTTCTCTAATTAATTAAACAATATTATGGGCCACCAACATAAATATTATTGAATTCCCTTTTCCTAGCCCAAATTACATTTGAGACTCCAATTATAATTATTCGATTTACCTCCCCCACGTTTAAGATATAATGTCCATTAATTAATTTGATTACTTACAATCAAGATTTAATTAATTTATTATTATTTCACCGAAGCTAGCGCTCGTTCACCACATTCTTACTATGCCGGAATTTAATCCACCTTCAGGGTTTAGCTTAATAATCCTTCATGAACTCACTCTGGGGACATCATCAAACTAACGCACATGGTGACCGTAAATATCCTAACAGCACATACTATATATAGTAATATTACCCAAAACAGTAAGAATACTAATCCAGCGAACTGAACATACCCAAGTGAATCAAAGTAATATGTACTACATATATATGCCTGCTTAATATCTTACAGGTTAAGAGAAAGCAGTAACTGACCGAGGCCTAGTTCATTTACGACGATCAGCACAAAATGAACTTCTCCACTCTGGGATCCTGTTCAATACATAAATGTACTAGTGCAACTAATCAGTCGAGACAAACTGTACAGTTGACACTACAACCGTTTGGATGGGGTGTTCATGTCCATCTAGGATGTGAACGACAATTCTTGTTTCGCAAGTAACTAATAGAATGATCTTCGGTTCGCCCGATGACGACCCACTCTATCTAAGTGTAAAACAACTGAACGTAGAACTAGTTTAATCTAACATGATTCTCATTCATAAAGGGCAAATGTGTAATAACATGCAAAGCCA